AAAATATGTCTTGCTTTACAGGAAAAGTGTTTTTTTTTTATGTTAATAAATCAGGCATAGTTCGAGACAAAATCCGAGAGCTTCAGGATCAACTACTCAAGTGGAGACAACAGCTTGTGGAGGACCCCTTCTCCTCGCTATGGGGAGGAATGTTCACCTACCTTGTGCCCCTGTTGGGACCCCTCTTCTTACTCCTACTGTTGCTCATGATAGGACCCTACATTTTTCAAAAACTCACAGCACTCATCAGCTCACACATAGATGCCTTTGCTGCAAAGCCCATTCAGATACATTATCATCAGCTGAAAATGGCAGATCAACAAAAATATCATGAGAGGGTTCCCTCAAATGGACCCTATCATAATGTGGCCTAATCTGATGTAGGCCCCCTGGTGAGATGGACAAGTAGTCAATGACGGGCAACTAGGACCCACATGCAATACTGCTGACCGCCTAAGACAGGAACAGGGCCTACTGCCGCCCTGTAATCCCACGACGGGTAAGGTCTGGTCGATCTCATGTGAAGGCGTCCTTAACCCAAGCCAGGCATTGTCCCCACAGGGCACTGTCAATTTCCGCTTGATGTATTTAATAAAAAGGGGGGACATGTGGGGGGCGATAGAATGCTCCTGTAATATTTTCCCTTATTTGGGCAAGAAGTGCTACAGCACCAATCCCTGCTTGCCTCGGCATCTTCCTGTGGTCCTAGATCTTCACTACCAATCCACAACTAGTCCCACCCAACTACTTCCACTATACAGCTATTTAGACCCTGTCCACTTCCTCAATAAACGAGACTTGATCAAAAAGCCTGTCTTGTCTCCGTCTCTTGTGTCTCTTGCCCTGTCTTTTTCATCCCCGTTCCTCCTCCAGGTCATTACCCACGTCTCGACTCGCGGGCCGAGTCATGAAACAGACCGGACTCCTAGTGATCCTCCTGTTTTCAGCCTCCCAAGTGCTGGGATTATAGGCGCATGCCACCACACCCAGAGTGGCCCCCGGGGGCGGAGCCAGCACAGCAGGCTGGGGATCAAACTCCTGGCCCCTGAGTCTGCCTATGCAGGGGCTTTAATCTGCTTGTTTGTCTTTTTGAGACAGGATCTCACTATGAAGTTCAGGCTGGCATGGAGCTCACTTTGTAGTCCAGGCTGACCTCACACCCCCCGCAAGCCTCCTGCCTCAGCCTTTCAAGTGCTGGGATTACAAGTGTGCGCCTCCATACCCAGCCAAGATCAGTAATTTTGGTATAAAGATCTTACACAATAGTGACCACAGGGCATGAGCAAGCAATT